CCCCAAAACCCCAAAACCCCTAGACTCTGTATTTAAATGTAAATAGATAAAGTATTAATCTAATTTTGTCAAAATATATAATATAATTAAAATGTAAGTTCACTCAGGATATTATGAACTAGATTAAAAGCCAACAATTATGTCAATGACTCAAGCAAGCATTGGCTCACTAATCAGAAAAGATCAATTATCGCTGCCATTGATCAATTAAGAAACTCTTGAAATCTAGGTTAATTTCAAAAGAGATAGAATATTCGTCTATGCATAAAATGAGCTAAAGATGTTTGATATTCATTTAGAGAAAGAATTCGACAGTATTAGAACTGATAGATATTCAACTAGCAGATTCCACTTACATACTGATAAGAGATTAATATTCTTTGAGGGATGTTAGTCTAAGATCAAAGTGTTTGAAATTTCCAGCAATAAATTTAAGCTGATATAAACTATTCTTAGTTGTCAATTGATAAAAGGATTCCTTGCCTTTAGTCCCAAAATATTTGGATACTTTGATTAAAATTTGATACTTTATAAATATGACAATGAAAGCTAGATTTATACAAGAATAATGATTTCAAGAATTCATCCTCATGATGTCCATTTGAGTGATTATTCATAATCTCTCTCTAATTACTACGAACCTAGAGATAATAGAAAGTTTTATTGAATTTATACGCGCTAAGAAGGGTTTGGTTTTGGAATTTACAGGATAAAACATTAAAAAGATAAGTCATATGTAAAACTTTAGAAAATCACGGGGTTAAGGAATTTTTTATTATTTAATATACTAACCAATTAAGACAATCTGGGTGGCAAATTAATGATTGGTTATTAAATGAGTATTTAATAAATGTTCAGTATAATAGTAAGTCTCTATTCTATTCATTTTGAAAATTTTAATTTACATCTTTAGGTGTGTTTTAATGAGAAAAGAAAAACTTACAAAAGATTTAAGATTGATTTAAGTGAATAGGACAGTTCATTTGCTTGTGCCCAAAGATATAAAACTTTTCATAAAAACAGAAATCCTTTAATTATCCTCAAGAATAAGAATAGGCAGATATATATGCTGAACTGTTAAAATGGAGAATTATAGGAGTTATTAATACCAACTAAGACATAAAACCTACGCTTTTATGATCCAAACATCAGTAGCAACACCATTCAGTCTATGATATCTGTTAAGGATTCAATTATTACTGATGAAATATATTTTGATTAAAATTATCAGAAGGTTAAATTAAGGGCAGTGAAATATTAAGTTGAGTGAATTATTTATTATTTAAAAATGATTAATTTCAGATTTCATAGTTTTAACTGAAACTATGGGGGTTTTGGGGTTTTGGG